ACATTTCACCGCTCACCGCGGCGGTAAAACTAAGACAATAGAATTTAACGCCACCGCCACCGCCACCGCTGCAGTGTGTGGGGACCTTTATCTCGAATAATATTCACTTTACAAATTTCGGCTTTTTCTTTTTTGTTCTAACTTTTTTTTGAACATACAAAATTGTATAATATAACGGCAACCGTTTCCAAAATTGTTTCCGTTTTTGAAATTATATTCAAAATTAAAAAATGTTATATTGTTTTTGTTCGATAATTAAAAAAAAAATTGTGAACACAAAAAACAATTGTTGCTTTTTTCATATTGTCGAGTGTATAAGTCAATTTTTACAATATAATAAAATATTGACTTGAGTTGTAATATTAATATTCTAATCTGAACAAATCTTGTAACTATTACTGTACTTGGAAATCACTTTTCGACGGTATGAGTGTTTTGACAGTTGTACAATAATATAATTATAGGCATAACCGCACAATAAGTGGTTCGACCTTTATCGAGTACCTAGTGGAAAGTGTAATGCATTTGCTAGGTATATAACATAAATTCTCAGACATGGCCACAATAACATTATTCTATATTGTCATCACTCGTCATAATTATGACATAATTTGTCGGTAATGTTTTCCTCCATACCATGTTTTAGAACAATTTATTTCTGCCCCAAAATGTGCAGATAAAAGAAGAAAAATGAATTTAAGAAAACACGCACACATATTATTATAAAATCAATCCATTCATTCAGAATTTAAAATAATAATAATAATAAGGTATAGTTTTTTTTATTGTTGTTGTATGAACACCACATTGTGTTTTCGTAAACTAGGTACCTAGGTACTTCGACCCGTCGAAATGATTTTCGAATGATATATACCGAAGTGACGTTTCAAGAGCTTGCATTATTTTTCTTATATAATGACAGCAATCACTGGAGCAGAAAAATCATTTTCCTAACTAAAACTAATAAAAAATTACTTAAGAAACGCATGTGGACGAGTGCGTTCATCTAGTATAGCAATTTCAAATGTATAAAAAGAACGAACTAAAAATCTAAATATTGAGGAAATGATTGACAATTTTGCTTTATAAATTATATTTCTTATAATAGAATATCTTAGATATTTATGTAATTATGATGTTAAATAAATTATTATTTATTTAAGATTACTCTTAAATATCATAATACCTAATACCTATATGTTAAAATATGGTTATAAATTTATAATGCAATTCGATTTGTAGTAAAAATATAATGGTTTAATACTGTGAATTGTTTTTCAAGGGAGCCCCTAAATTTTCTTTTGCACCAGAGCGCTCAGAGTTCAAGATTCGGCCCTGAGTTTAGTCAACGTCCTAATCAATACCTAGACAAAATAAAATATACATTTATTTAATATATTTGAAATTTCTGTGGTTTAACCTTTTGATACATTTTCTTAATTACTTTAATAACCATTTTCTAATTAAAATAATATGCTTTACTAATATAACAACTGTATGTCTGATAAAACAATAATTCAATAATGTTATCAACTCATGCGTAATTATTTTATATCTATCTAAGAATTTAGTTTGTTTTCGGGTCTCTAGTACCCTACTAACTATTTTACTTTATTACTTTCAAAGTTTCAACTTTAATTTGATTTTCAGATAACTTAATTGCACTTAAACTAAAATATTTTTAAATTGTAATAAGCATATCATTACAGGCAACTGAGTAAAATAAACTTACAAATAACATGGTATTCATTACATTTAATATTTTAGATTCTGAGTGACTGAGTGGAACGATGAATGTATTGATTTTACAATGATGTGTGTTTTTATATTTATTTTCTTATTTTTTTATTTTTGTGTCTGTGTACACGATAAGTAGTCGAAATAATGCTTCGATTATCAACTTTGGTATCTTGTTCGATTCGAAAGTGAATATCGTTGGTGCATTGGGGAGGTCAAAATTTAAAATTTCCAGTAATTTTCAAAAGCGCCAAGAAAAACAAAAGAAAAATTAAGGAAATAACTGGAATTTTTACGCAAAATCGATTTTTCACAAAATTGAATTTGGTTTTTCGTGTAACTTTAAAACAAATGACCGTAGATACATGCAATTTTCACTGGTTGTTTATATTTGCATTTTCTATACACGATAACATTTTCAAAATATTATGATTTGTTTTGAACTGTTTAGGGACATTTTCATTTTTCATTTTTTTTTAGTTTTTTTCTAGAAATATCAATACAATTTTATTTGTTGGTTAAAAAAGCTTGAAAATTTAATAGAAGGCTCCTAGTATATTGTTTCAAAGGCAGATGAAAAATATTAAAAATCCTTAGTCACAATTTTTTTTATAAGCATTTAAAGTTCAAAAAATGACAAAATATGGAAAAATCACGAAAATTAGCAAATTATTTTGAATTAAGAATTCGTAAAAATTTTTCTTTTTAAATCTAAGATTTGAAAATGTAATACAAGATTACTCATAAGTTTGTCTACCCTTATCAATATAAAAATCTCTACCGGAAAGTCAAATTAAATTTTTATGAGCGTTTGAAATTCAAATTTTTACAACATTGGGCATTTACTCGATTTTTCATGTAGCGATTTCCTTATTTTGTTGTAGGTACCTCAGTGGCGCCGAAGTCCATGCTGACGTCGGGCCGTGGCCCGACCTCTTTTTATTAAAAAATGTGGCCGGCCGGCCATATTTAATTTACATCATAACTTTATTATAAGCATGAGTAAATTTAAACCGTGATTATGAATAAATTTATATTAGGGTACCTCTATATTAAATAATTAAGATATTGAGGCCGGGAAGTTTTAAAATTGCCCGACCACATTTTAAAAACTTCGGCGCCACTGAGGTACCTAATTCAAAAACGAATAACTGTAGGTACATGAAAATGTATTCACTGGATGTTGATATTAGCATATCCTATACGCCATACAGTTTTGAAATTATTTTGACTCTTTGAGCTGTTTACGGACATTTACAGTTTTAATTCTTTTTAGTTTTTTTTTCTATAAATATTAATAAAGTTTTATCTGTTGGGCCAAGAAGTGTAAAAATTGAATACAAGGCTTCTGATATATTGTTACAATAGCAATTGAAAAATATAAAAATACATAGGCACAATTTCTTTTTATAAGCATTTAAAGATCGAATTTTGACAAAATTTATCAAAATCTCGAAAATTATCAATCATTGTAATTAATAAATTATAAAATGTTCAGTTTTTATAGCTAAGGATTGAAAATTTAAAACAAAGGTTATCATAAATAGTTCATACTGTAACCAAAAAATCCAAAAAATATATTAACACAGTTATTTTTTACAGACATTTTAAATTCAAATTTGGACGAAATTACATAGGTAATAAAAAACCTAGAATAACTATTTTAGTTATTTTGTTGTGATTGTATAATATTATTCGTGGGTACTTGAAACTTCTAAAGTATACTACTATATAATATTATCTATGATAGTATCAGGGTTTTTTGTTGGTGTATAACGCGTTATAAGTACCTAATGGATATTGTGATATGATTAATTTGGAATTCATTATAAGTCAATTTTTTTTAATACCATAGATAATTAGTATATAATATGTCTTATAACTAGAAGGACATACCGTCTCCGCTCAGAATCGTTTTTCTGATACAAATGATATAATATTATTGAATTCAAATTTAATATCATCCATTATACAGTGACCCACTTGTAACCTACTGTACAGCAGAGCGACACCCACTTGCCCACTTTTTTTTTTATTTAAAACAATAAAATATATAAAATTACAATTCATTAGGGATAATGGATAAAACAAATTTAAAACAAGTGATATGCTTTTTTAAGTTTATTAAAATATATTTTAAATTATATTTACAATTCAAGGTAGGTATATAATCAATATTGCTCATTATGATTTATGGTACCGCAAGACAAAAATAACAAGGACCTAAATTTAACTTTTCAATTTGGAATTGTTATTCATTGATTTTGGAAGATTTACCTAGGACTAATAATGCAGTATAGGGATGGCATAATTTATTGTTTTACTTCAATTTTGAATCAATGCCATCCATTGGCGTAATTAAGTGGGGGATTTGGGTGTCGAATTCCTCCCCCCCATAACCGTTTTTTTTTTAAATTTTCAAACTCTAGTATATAAGACTAATTTTATTCATGTATATTTTATAGATAATACAATAATCACACGAATCTCCATAATATTATATAATCATCCATCAATATTATCAAACAATATTATACCCGCTAAAAATAAGTGATGGATTTTCCACATTATCGGTTTATCGGAATATTCCCAATCGCAACGACTCTCCGGACTCCGACCTCCATTAGTCTGTTACTATGTTCTCATTTGGTAATAATCGGCAGAGTCGTGTTTAACGGGAGCCGGGAGGCAAAGGGGCAACTGCCCCTTTATCATTTTCATATTTTAAGAACGGAAAATTAAATTAAACTAAAATTAAATTAAAAATAATACTATAATATTATTAATATACTAATTATTCTAGTTCTAACTAAATATTTGTAGTTTTTAGTATGATTTTTATTACTACTTACTGCTTTGTAACTTAAACTGTTTTTTCTTTAACTTTCGGATGTATTAACTTTGGTAACTTTTAAAGCGGGCCGAACCACAGAATAGAGAAATATCCCCATCCCGCCACGAGAAAACATGCCGCCGACACGGCTGGTCACCTGTGTTGGCAACACTGCTGAGAGTTATCTACCGCGCGCACAGCAGCAGCTGACCGTCCGGCTGTGGCAACCGTTCGCGGAAGAGGTCTGTCTATTTCAACTTTCAAGTGGGGATAAAAACCATAATATAAAATATAATACAAAAAAAAAAACCAGACATAAACGCACACACACGACCATCCGAGACAAACAACGCGGAAACCGTCGAATATAACCGTCAGCGTGCACGTCCTAAAGTGAACACGAAAATCTATTGTCTAACCAGAATCAAAAATGTCTGCCGTCACTAGTGTCGAAGATGAGTACGACGAGTACAACTACGACCAAGACAAATTGGTCAACAGCGGACACAGCGGTAATATTATTATTTATTACGAACCAAATGATATTATTGATGTCGCAGATATTTCCACGTTTTTACTGGGCAGTACATTTTTTAACGTGGTTTTTTTTTTTTTTCTGTCACTTCACAGGTAAGAATAGGAGCAAGAAAGAGGCTAGTGAACACACCAATCATTTCGATCCGAGCGGGCACTCGAGGAAACTCTCGACTAAATTGCAAAACACTGAAACCAACAAGAAGGAAGAGAATTTGAAGCCTCATCCGTCGACCAGAAAGTGATCAAATCCGAATGCGCTTCCCCCCAAAAAATCCCAATGTCTTGCTACGGTTTTACTTATAATTTTTTTTTTCTCTTTTTTTCAAACATACTACTTGATTGCTCATCGGAAGCCATCGTTAATAATTGATATTAATTTTAAAAACTAATGTTCAGAAACGTATAGTCTACGTTCTTTAATCGTAGATTATCTTTTCTCTCTTAATATATATATATATTTTTTCCTTTTTTTTAAAGATATAATATTATCTATGGATGTTATATTTTTCAAAGGTGTATAAGTAATTGTATATGACATCAATGCATTTCAATACATATAAGTTGATTGACATTTTTAGTTTTATTATTATTTACCTAACTGTGTGTGCTAAAACCTCATTTGTGAACTATGATGTGTTAAATTTATAATTTGAAGTTATCACTACAAATACAATCAAAATTTTATTGTAAACAAAACAATAAACCACAAGGTCAAGTGGGTTACTAGGAATAACAACTTTCATTTTCTAACCGACAGTATTATTAAATTATACAGCTGGTACTTTGTTAACTCTATAGTGTACATTTAATAACCTTCCATTGAATGACACTTTGAATTTTTAATAATGATGTTTACCATTATTCCATAATATAGTCAAAAAACCTATGCTGATTTTATGAAAGGCAATATGGTTATGTGTGAACTGTGTAGTGGATAGTTTTTTGGTCTCTATCAAAAATTGAATGGTGAACACTACTAAACAATTTCAGTTATGTATAATAATCATTATATTATAAATTTATAGTCATAAATTAGACTGTAAGATACGAGTAACAAATTAAATTAGGTATATAAGAAAAATTTTAATAACATTTATTTGTATACAGTAGTGCTGAAGTCCATGCTAACGTTTCAGGCACGGCCGGCCACATTTTATTTACAATATAACTTTATTATAAGAATAAGTATATTCAAGCCATGATTATGAATAAATGTATATTAGGTACCTCTAAATTAAATTATTGAGGACGTGGAGTTTTACAATTTCCAGACCACATTTCAAAAACTTTGGCGCCGCTGTTTATAGATTTTCATTTTTTAAGTCAAAAATACAGCCAAATCGCGAACAAAGAACCGTGACATGTAGATTTGCAAATTGTTTCCTGACAAGTTGAATTGTTTGTCGATTTTACAGCGATACCTATAATTGCAAACTTTGCTTTACCCTGATTGCCTGTCTGGCCGGGTATATGAAAGTTTCAAAGGATTGCCATAGTTATGTGTGGATTTCTTTGTAAAAACATGTTTTTAATGTATGTATTATACGTGCAAGATATGTCAACAAAATTTTATTTCGCATATAAGTACATATTTTATGTTAAGGGAATATTTAGCCCACCACAAGAATCCCTTAATCTCCGATCCATCATCTGCTTCTATCTCAGATAACCCAATTAAAAGACTTAAAAGACAGTGGTGTCGTGAACTGCTAGCCTAATTTAAAGTCCTACTCATGTCATAGTACCTCCGCTGGGAGGCCTTTACATTCCATCCAATCTGCTTTTTCATTTTTATTTTTCTTATTTTAACATTTTAACCCATCAATTGTACTTATTGTTCTTCTTTGTAACAGATTGAATAAAAAAAAAAAAATATATAAATCAAAAAAAAAAGAGAACATATTCAAATAAAATCATATTTTTGCATATTTCACCAATTAATAATATGTATTGAAATATTTCTAAAAATGAAAGAAATATGTACATTTCAACCACAGATATAGATACTAGTCTATCTGTGATTATTCATTACATATTTAAGGAAAACCAAAAGGCTGATTAATAGTTACTTATTTTTTTTATCGGTACCTTATAAAAACTACAACACTGTCATTAAGGTAATATACTTTAACAATTGAACGGATGAATACTAATTTATTTTAACAAATTATTATTATTTCATTCATTATTTTAATTTGTGAGTTATTTCGCTTATAAATTCAACATTAAAAAAAAAGTTTAAAAAATATAATGTTATTATTTAGTAATTATGTTTTGCATATAAATACATATTTTGATGTTAAAAAAATTAATATAATATAAAATAATTTATAAAAAAAAACATGTACAAATTTTCAAGAGAATATAGGCCACATATTTTGGCTATTTTAAGAGATTATAAATCCGAGCTTTAATTATAATTTACAAAAATGAGACATGGTTAAAAATGTAGCCATAAAGATATATAAATTATCTTCCATCGGTGTTGTTAAAAAACACTAATTGTAAGAATTAAATATGAGGAGAAATACAATTACATTAACATAAGAGAATTTATAATTATTGATGCCTAAATAGGGTGATCATAAGACATTCAAATAAAGTTTCTTTCATAAAATAAAAATCAACTAGGTATCAATATAAAGTATAAACTATAAAAACATTTTCCATATCATATGAAAATTATAATTAATTACTAAAACAATAAGCAAAGGCTGAGATTCTTAACACAAACAAAAAAAAAACAATTAAAATGTGTTCCCACACAAAACACCAAAAGAGCCATAAGCAACTATATTATACTACATTTAATCAATATTGCACAAGACATTATTTGTACAATAAGTAAAATTAAATGTGCGAACTTAATTTACCATATTTTTTATTATATTTAGCAACATGCATTTCAAGTATTTCATTGGCCTCTTCATAATACGGGCTTAAATATGTTGCTGTTCTCATTTTCCAATTAGACAAATTTGGACGGTTGGCATATGGATTGAAACCAGCCATTCCTAAGAAAAATTTAAAAATCATATTTAATCAAATTTTTTTTTGTGAAAAAATCCACTAACTTGTTTGTTCGATTTCACAAATAGCAATAATATCAGAAATGGAAATTTCATTTCCACTTAAAAACGTTTTATTTTTCAGCCAAACGTTTTCTATAAGGTCTAAAGTTGTGATCATTTTGTTTTCTAATTGAGCGACTCTCTGTTCATTTACCGGTTTTCCATTCATAACTGGCCACAAAACCTGAAATATATATATTATTGTTTTTATTATTAATTAAATATAAGATTTTTATGTTAAGTCATACTTTATGTAAATAATAGAGAGCACAATCAGCTCTAGTATTTGTATGCTGCCACTCAAGGTATTCATCTACTTGTGCTTGTTTCACAGAGTCCTTAGGGTACCAGTGATCTGCCACATTATAAGTACGACAAATGTAACGCAGAATTGCTATGCTATAAAGTAATAACCATATTCTTAGTTAAATTAAATACCAAATACCAGATTTATTATAGTTATAAGTTATAACATTGCAATGCTTAATTAATTATTAATACAACATGTCAGTTAATTAATCAACATTCATTGTTGATTTAATTTTCAAAATATTTTTAAATAAATATAAATATATAACAGAAACAATAATTTAGTTGTTAGTATAACTAGGTAAGTCATGAATGAAAATAAAGTTATAATAAACTTAACATAGCTTGTTTTGAAGAGTGATATCGGAAGTTTCTGATTGACTGTAGGTTTTTAATGATGTAAGGTCATGGTGTTACTTATAATAAAAATTTAAATACAATAATAATCATAATAGAAAGTTCTTTTTAGAAGTACAACAATTTTCATTTTTTATTATCAGTCTCCAAGTGTTACAGATACTTTTGTGAATACCTAAGCCGCAAAAAAAAAGAATAAGGACATGAATATTAGTGGTTTTGATGTCTCTAATAGTTAATACCCATTCCTAAGCTAAATAAGAAACTATATTTTTTATCCATCATATTATGAACACAAACTTCAACGCTCACATACAAAGAGATTGAATTAGTGATTGTACGAGTGTTCTATAGTTTTATTATAGTTTCTTATATGGTGATATACTGAGCACCACGATAGAAGGAACCCGTTTCGTGCATGCAGACTGTAGAGTTTAGGTATTCCCCACTTTGTGCCATTTAGAGTATGTCAAATACGTGGCGATGCGCTAAATCGAACGTGTTTCGGTCTGGACACTGGTTGCTTCTCTCGTGGCGAGGAGTATATACACTTCCATTAAACTGGTTTAACATAACTACGATAATCAATACTACGCATATATATTATTTAATAGTAGTATTGTACATCATAATATCTCTAAAACAATAAATTTATCACCTTTCAATCAGAACGAATCCATTATCGTTGATGACGGGTACTTTTTTTAATGGATTTATGGCTTCAAACTCGGCTGTGAACTGTTCTCCTACAACATGCAATATATTATATTATGTTCAAGTATGTAAGTAACAATTATATTATAATATTGTCTTCTATCTTCACTCACCTTTCAGTAAATCCACAACCTTTCCTTCGAATGGAACTTCGGCTTTTTTAAAAAACATGTACAATGCTCGGGACGGTTGTGACAATAAGTTGTAATAATATGTTAATTTTGCCATATTGTTTGAAGTTAAATCGCAGCCTCTGTCGCTTTAGAAAGCTCCGATTATAAAAAACGATCACCGGACAACCAATAATTAATTATTATAATATAAATTGATATTTTCGTCAACTTTCGACGAAATGAAAATTATGAAAAGAGGTGGGAAAATTATATTGATAACAGTGTAAGAGACATCGGTGAGACATCGATGGTTTGGTTCTTATCATAACCTTCAAAAAGATAAAAACTTCCATATGATTTCAAAATTGTCATTCTTGCTCATAGAAATAGGTGTTAAAACACTTAAAAACCAAATCATTCCGCATTCGAGAAAATTCTACGGCGCAGACGAGTGTTCGTTTTTAAATATTTTTTGAAAAGAACGACAAAATGTCGGTTAGGGTGTTCTCCAGGAAGTTTTCTGCTGGCAGGCAATTGCGCGCCGTCATGGACGAGCAGTTCACTGCCGAAAAACTCAAGTCCCACTGTTCACCCGGCAAGTGGATTTTTAGCATTCCTCTACGGTTTTCATAGTGACAAAGGTTTTTACATTTACTTACTTTGTTATGTTTTCATTGAATTACAGAAGTCCTCCAAGGTTTGGGATTGTGGAAGAAGGTCACCTATTTCATTGGACTACCGGGTTGTTTGTTGGCAAGTATTTACTGCATCAACGGACATTTGGAACACGAAAAACACACATCGCGACCAGAGTTCGTGCCATATGAACATTTGCGCATCAGAACTCGGGTACGTATATCTGCTTGAGTATTACTTATCTGAATACAAGTGCCAATTCGCTGACGAGTAAATTAAGGATATTATTTCAATCTTTGTTAACATATTGTTGAGAATCAAGTGTAGTGACTATTGTTCAAGGGGCCTGTTGAACTTTGATCAAAATCATCCACACTGATTAACTTTTAATAAAACTATTATAAAATTGTGCACAAATCTTTTTTTGTCAATGTCACAGTTTAACTAGTCGCAATTTCTGGTTATCAATTATTTCAAGAATTTCTTGGCATTTTCAATTCTAGGTACCTTCATTATTAAAATATTAAGTTAAATCAAATCATACGGAACAAATCTAGTTAAGCGCCCACGTGAATTTTTGAATTTTTTTTTTTGGAAACCTATGTGTTTTAACAAGTTTAGAACGATGGTGCACAAATTAATTGGCGGAAACCATTATTTTGAAAGTTATAGCCTTCCAAAGTTTGCGATTTTACGTTTATGTAAATGCATGCACACAGCGCTCTATTTTCCGTGTTTATAACGAATGATTTGAGATGTCGCTCCTCTCCGCAAATCAAAAAATATCCCTCGACTTGCTATGCAAAACCACCTCAAGTAGGTAACAGGGACAATGGAAAATCCCTGATCAAATTGCATTTGACAAAAAATAGGTAATAAAAAGTTCAAAAAATCATTTATACCGAGGACAGAATCGAGCTTTCGATCTTTAGTACTTGACGTGCAGTGCAGACCACTGCGCCACACTTCATTCGTATAACGATTGTAAAAACTACCTATTTAAATGAATTGTAGAAAAAACTTGAATTTCAAACTCTATAACTCGAACAATATTGATTTTCGCCAAATTTTTTTTGTACCATGGTTTTTAAAACGTTGATTTACATAGGTTTTGAAAAAAAAATAATTGAAAAATTTGTTACGAACGCAGAAAATAGAGCGTTGTGTGCATGCGTATAAACGTAAAATCGCAGACTTTGGAAGGCTATAACTTCCAAAATAATGGTGTCCGCCAATTAATTTTTGCACCATCATTCTTAACTCGTTAAAATACATAGGTTACCGAAAAAAAAAATTCAAAAATTCGCTTGGGCGCTAAACTAGATTTATACCAATCATACTAAAATAATTGATTATATGATGAAGACAAGTTGAATAAATTAAATAATACATACTAATTTTTACATATAAAAATTAAAAAAGCCTAAGGCTTAGGCCCGGAGCAATTAATGACCTATTATGCACGGCTATAAGTTCCAAAGGTATTTCTAAGCTTTATTAACTTATATGTTTACATAGGTTATAAGTCAATAAGTCTAAAAATACAAATTATTCATTTACAATATTGTCAAGTTCAAAAGTTGTATTTTTAACAATATATATTTTTATACTTTTAATTTATATTTTTGGATTCTTTGTTCGGCAGTTAAAAAAACGAGTCCGGACTTCCTGCTTAATCAATATTGATATTACTTGACACTTCTTGTATTTGTATCATGTTCCTTACACAAAAATTAATTTCACCATTACTAATATTTTTTCAGCGATTCCCATGGGGAAATGGAGACCAAACTTTGTTCCACAATCCAAAATTGAATGCTACAACTCATGGTTATGAAGTAGATGAATAAATATGAATGTTAAATGTATTTGTATTATCTATCTGTAGTTATATAATACCAATTTAATAAAGTAAATGCTGGTACTGTAAAAACATAAGTCACTCCGTAAACTTATTATGTATATCTAATGAATAAATGAGACCTTTTTGTAGACTTAAATGTTTGATATTTTTAATTTAAGGAATATAAACATTTGTTTATGCAAATTTAAATTTATATCAATAATTTTTCATTGTCAATACAGTGATAGATACTATTTTTTTAAACAATGAATAAAAATCTTTATTTTTCAAAAATCTGAGTATATACTACTAAATGGTTTGAAAATGTAATCTATTTAGTATTTTATTTTATTATAAAAAACAAATATATTTTCAAAGTTAAGTAGAAAAATTAAAATTGAGATTACATCTTTAAATTATATAATATTATAGTTTATTATTTGATCTATATAAATTCCTATATTAAATTTCTAAACTTATATTACTAAATGATTTTATAATAAAATATACATTTTAAATAATCAATCTAAAATATTAACTAATTTTTTTCACTTAATTTATTAACATAACGTTTGTATTCATCTGCCGTTTGTTCGATTACTTTATGTGCTTCTTCATAAAAAGGAGAAAACTCTGCTTGGACTCTAGCTATCCATTTGGTTAAATTTGGACGATCCACTAATGGATCAAAACCAGCAATTCCTAAGTGAAAATGTTTAATATAAATATCATACTGTTATATTTAAATTAGTTTTTTTACTTGGTTGTTCTACTTCACATGCACCGACAAGATCAGACACAGAAATTTTGTCTCCGCACAAAAATGGTTTATCTTTTAACCAAATATTTTCTAATAAATTTAGATTTTCAATCATTCTATTTTCTAGTATTGTAACTTTTTCAGTGTTTGCTGCCTGTCCAGTTTTTAACGGCCATAATGCCTTTAAGCGGAAAACAATAATTTGAATAGTAATTAGCTATGTAACAAAATCAACAACAATTACCTTGCGCCGAAAATACTCAGTACAATGAGCTCTAGTATTATTATGTTGCCACTCTAAATATTGATCAACAAGTGCCTGCTTTTGGATGTCTTTGGGATACCAATGGTCAGCTACGTTATATGTTCGACACAAGTAACGTAATATTGAAACACTAAAAAAAAACAATTAATAATTGTGATATTAAAAATTTGTACTATTCTCAGTCCTTATGTGATACAGACAACTAGTTCTACAACATGAACTTCATTAATTTATAAATTGCAAATTAACCAATTATTGACAGTCAAATTATAATTGGTATTTTTTGGAAATAATAACCTTTCTATTAAAACTGTTCCCTTGTCATCAATAAAAGGTACTTTCTTGAACGGATTTAAGCTTTCAAATTCTTTAGTGAGATGCTCTCCTATACAAAAGGGAAAATAAGATTTACTTCCGTGTTAACTGTTGTGTAAAATATTATTTTAATTTATGATGTACCTTGTCTCAAATTTACTGGTTTTGGTTCAAACGGGATTTTGGTTTTCTTCATAAATATGTACAAAGTTCTGCACGGTTGTGACAAAAAGTCATAATAAAACTTTAATTTGACCATGGTGTTAAAAAAATTAAACTATCCAATACACTTGTTGAATCCACGTTTCACCAAAAACTAGAACAAAATATAAAACAAGTAACAACTCGTGACTAAATAAATTTATTTAGTAGTGTAACGACTGACAAACGAATAAATTCCAACAGGCTACTTGATTACTATCAATGTTTAATGACATAATAATTATAGTTTAATTAATCCAAAGTTCGAACCACGGTCTTATCTTCTAAGACGTGGTCCAGACAAATTAATATCAGTAATTTTTAATTGTTGAATAAATTATGTAATACTATTATCACAGATTAATTAATTAAATTTAATACAATTGTTGCTTGCTATTATTACTCTATGATTTAGATTTTAGATACACCCAAAACCCATGAACATATTTTTACATTGAATAAATTGTCTAATGTTTAAGGATAAATGACGTCAAAAACGCGAAACACCATCGAGTGGTCCAGTGTTGGGAATAGAATATAGATAACTAAAAAATTTTCGCGATAAGATAAGATAATTTTTGCGAAATGTTATCTAGATGAAAATAAAGATAACATACATTTCATTCATGTTGATAATGATAAAATATAAACAATACATTTATTGATTTATCTATAGAAGGAAATTAATACAACGGACTATTATAGTAATAATATTGTATTCTGTAATCTGTGCTATTATTACGGATATCTTATTAAATGTCCTACTTCCAATGAACTAAAATGTGGTTGTTACGGACAATATTATTGAATTCTTCAATAATGTACCTAATTTGCCTATACAATTCGCCGGGCCACACATTTTGTGAGTGCGAAAAATTTAAAACAATTTATAATATAATATTATCTACTAGCTGAATACAGGCTACAGCTAGGAGCCTAGGGTAATAAGTACAAACTAAGATATCTTAGTGGCAACAAGTAATAAGTAATAACCCTGCTTTCCTCGGGGGATGGTAACGAGGAATGACCATGACTATTTTTTTTTTGCTCTCAATTTTATGTTCATCGTTTAAATATCTGTTTTCAAATACAAATTGGCATCTCTAACCAATAATCTCTGATCATATTTTTATTACCTTTGAATTTGATTGTATTTAGTATTTTTGGTTTGTAATTCGAAATTGCCTGCAGTCTCCAGCTTGAAAAACAATATAATTTTGTTTGCTTCATGAATTAATTGATTTACGATAGCCTGTGCTTCAGTGCTTGTCTATACATCTAGTTGTTTGTATCCTTAAAAAGCATCAATCATTTTTTATAAGTTTTCTAGTACATAGAAGCAATGGGGATAGATGACCCTGATCATATTTTTTCGTTTATTTGAATGTATACAATAGTATTTGGTTTGCACAGATTAACTGCAGTCTATAACTTCTAGTAAAATTATATCTTTTTGTTATTTTTTTATAATCTCTGTCTATGACACAAATAAGTGTTAGCAGAACTACAATAATATTATAGTTTATTCACAGTATTGACTTTTGTAGTTTAAAATATATGCCATTTGTCAGGGTTAAGGTTGGTTTTTTTTTATTAACAAAAACTTATAAAAAAGTAAATTCCTCAAAATAAAAACAAACTTTTTATGATAAATATTGCAATATAATTTTACTATACCAGTCTTACTCAAAAGTCAAAACTAATACATTTATATTGAATAGAATTTTAAAATTTTAATACAAACTTTTTTTTGTAACAATTAAAACAACCAAGATAAATAGTTTTAATTACATACAATTATCATTCTTATATTTTTATATAATCTTGAAACTAAAGTAAAACTATTACCAATAGAACTATAAATAATTCTTATGTATTATATTAAATAAATAAATATTATTTTGAAAGTAGTTTTTAATTCATATACATTATTAAGGGGTATAAGTACAAATAATTTAATAATATTGTTAACAATTGTCAAATGTAATTTGTAACTCAAATAATATTTTAACTGTACAATTAATTATAATGGCAATAAAAATACGATTTTAACCTCATCCGTATACTTATATTTTACATGTAAAATTAAATCAAATGATTACATGTTATTGACTAGAAATATCAGTTTAAAGAAAATCATTTAAATAAAAAGTCTAAAACACAGATCATTGTTAAAAATAATACAAAATACAATTTTTCATTATAAACAATTTGTTCGGTAACAATAATTTAAAGTTTGATACTTCTTGAAATACAATGAAATTATAAAAAAATTAATTCGACATACTTCTATAAAAACTATCTTATACTCTAAGGAATAGTATAAAAAATTAATTTAATTTTAAATAATTGTCAAAAACTCAATTTTTAAATCTATTATTAAAATAAAATCTTATGAGATAATTAATGATCACAAATTGTTGTTTCTAAAATAGAAGTCTTAAAATGGTATACGTTCAGATTCACAACTAAAATATAATAAGCGTGTAAACTAATATTGAGCTGATTAAATTGTACTTTTTTGTTTTTACAAAACGTTAATTTTTCACAATAGATATACATTTAACAAACATGAAGTGATTAAATTATTTTAAGTAGTAAGTACTGTTGCTAAGCAGATCAATAGTTTAACAATAAGTAAAATATATGTGGCTGTCATAAAAATAGAAATCCAAATTTTTTTCTGAAGCTTGATGTAGACGGCATAGACATCATCCACTTCCTCAGGCCGATCAGTACAACAGATGAAGTCACCAACACTGCACCAATAATACTGAAAATATTAGGTACCCTCGTTGAAAATATTATCTGCCACACAAAAGCAAAACACCACATCAACAGTCCTTGCAATAGCACCCATCCAGCTTCTTCGAGTTGGGCTGCAATAGTTAGTAACATTTGTCCAGAAAAACTGAATACGCCCAAAGCAATTACTAAAATTCTCTCAGTACCGCATTTTGGCCAACACAAGTTTCCTGTAGCCCAAGCCATGCTAGTCGTTTGTATGATAGAATAAGTGGCAAACGTCACCATGATAACACTGAAATGTAAGTTCTTCAAGGCTCTAAGTAGTATATAAACAATAGCTCCAAAAAATGTAGATAACAAGGCTGCTAATGGACCTAAGAAATTGTATTGTTTAGTCGACTGCCCAAATAAGAAAGGAGGTCTTGTGATCAATAAGACTCCAATCATTGTTAAGAATAATGTGAAGTAATGGAACAGTCCACATGGTTCCTTGAGAAATATTCTAGCGAATATTGCGACCATGACAGGCACACTGAATACAATTACTGAAGCGTCAGCTAAGGGCATGTGTCTGATGGCATAAAAAATCAGAGACACTGAAGTGGCGCCGGCAAAAGCACGAAGTAGTAGCATCAGTCGTTGACCTTTTGGAAATGGATTTTGTTTATTGTAGATCAGTATGGGTACTGAGGGAATTAATATTCCGACAAAACGAATGGCGGGCCAATTCAATGGGTCTATGTCGTCGAGCCATTTAACTATCAACGTACTCAGAGAGAAAAATAAGGATGATATGGCAGCCAACAGTAAACCAAGAATTTTTATTTGTGATTTAGGAGACGACGTCACGTTTGGCGTAACCGGCGAACTTGTGGACGGTGTATCTGAATCGATCACCAGATTTCTGAGTTCTAGTCGTTCAGCCATTAACATGGTTTAACTATTACTCACTTTATAAAACTACTTACTACTTACACCTCACTTGTTCGAAAGTAGTATGCTAGAACAGTAAATGCCTTACTCTTGATTTAGACCATGATTAAAGATATAGGTACCTATTGAAATGTACCCTTTCAAGTAGAACTGAGATTCAAGTTATTAATTCTTGGAAAAAAACTATTATACTAAAAAATAAAAAAAATGTGCAGAATACCGGATCTTGAAATAGTATTTAGCAAAAAAAAAAAAAAATGAAATGGGAATATGGGATATTGATTATCACAATCTGATAGTGTAATCACCGAATCTGCAACCGTGTGAATTGGCGATTATAGCACAGTTCTGTGATTATAGGTCATGAGGTAATATTACCACAATTTGCAGGGGGCTCACCCCCCACCCTCCACCCCTTCACGCAAAAAAAAAAAAAAACAAAATAAAATGGGCCCCTAAAATAAATCGAAGTCCGTAAAACGAGACACTAAACTCACTTATTAATTTCAAAACATTAAACGGACGTACATGATATTATCTTTTTTTAATGATACATTTTAGTACCTAATTAAATTAATAAATTTTATAGTCATTTTATACCTACTTGTTGATTGACGATGGTTAGTAGTTATAATAATATATAGCATATTATATTACTTAAATTTTTGCGATCTAAGATCTTATTGCATCTTTCTAGGCAACCTTTTCAACCAACGTATTTAATATTTATAGGTATCTAATTAACTGCATATTCTCTGGTTTTAAACACTCAGAACAGTTAACCCTAAGAAATTAGCTTGTGCTATAGTACTTTTTAGATGATTTAATTAATTATTTTATGAATCGGTGAACGAACGTTCTGCTGTAGCTGAAGTCACTGGTATAATAGTGGTAGTAGTAAAGTAATAGTAGTACAAAATAATTTTAAAACTGTGGCTATTTACAGAAGACTGTATAGTGTATCATGCAATTATTTGATAAGCAGATATTCAGCTGATTTATTCTTTGATATTTGAAACTTTTTTATATTTTGAAGTAACACTTTTCCGAATAAAGGCATTTTTGCTTTACAAATGACCGACAAATATTGAAGGTTGTTCGCCTAGAATTTTTACAAAAATTTAAGCGATTTTTGTATCTGAATATTGTACTACATTTTTAGGAAAAATAAAGATAAAATATTTTAAACTTATATTTGCAACATTATTCATACCCATAAAATTTGTGCGAAGTTGTGAAATTATTATGTCAAAATTTGTGTACAAATGTACATGCTTGTATAAGATGCTGGTCAGACATATCCCCCCCCTAAGCATATTTTTAAATGTTTATGATTTTTAAGTTATCTTAAGTAAAATCAAATATTACAAAATGTATAGAGAATTATATTTTTAAAGGTTTAATATTTAAGTATCAGTTTAATATTTTATTATTATTTGACTTTTTATTCAACTTTCCAAATCAAAAAAACCTTTTGTAAATTTAAATAATGTTTAGAGAATAAAAATTATTAGGAAGAATATTTAGATAAATCTATATGACATATCTACCCTCAATAATATTATTCTTATCGTTTTTGTAATGGGTGATTTTATTCTAATAGCGTTTTTCATCTGACTGCACTAGTGTATACTACACGTGAACACTGATACCATATTCACAATATCACATAATTTTCCACACCGGCAAAATTCACAGTGTCGACCAGTGTACACTAGTGCAGTCAGATGGAAAACGCTATAACATTACTCAAAAACATAATAAAAAAAATACAACTTAAAAACGTTTTATCTATGTCGAGAGTGGGCCAGAAGGAACATTTACAATCGTAATTTAAGGAACATCATTAATAACTGATCTTAAAATAGCAATATCAGGAATAGTTAAGATTATTTTTCTATAATTATTAATAAATATTTTAATTATTTTGTATTACCTTTTCTTTGTCTTTGAAACATAAATTTTATTTTATTTTTTTTCTTCTTTTAATTTCCTTTGCCTTTATATTGTTAATAGTTAATAGTTAATAATATTTAATATATCATTACATTATGTAATTAAAAAAATATATAATATTAGGTTTTTAAACAATAATTCCTCAATATTAAAATTACACTAAAAACGTGCGATTACAACCAACTATTTAGAAATAAGCTGTATACAGAATAATTTAATACAGATAATGATGATGGCAGTATGACACCCATATTTTTTTTTTAATATGAAACAGTGACATTTTAACATTTAAATTTTTAATGAGAATTTTACTATTGATTTAAATAATATCTGAGAAAGTATGATAATATTTCATTAAAATGTTTACAGTTCTCTCTAAATAAAAACAATTGCAAGAAGTTTGCAAATGAACAAATATTTTGCTCATGTTATTAAAAGAAAAATCATTAATATGCTATTTTTAAAAACTTTCCAAAATATGAGAAAAAAATATTATATCAACTCACTAGGCTATGGAACAGATTTTTGGCTTTTATAGCTATAAATAGAAGTTATGGACAAAGTATGTAATTTATGTAACTTATCATCCTTACTCATAACTTTAAACTACTGTCTCCTTGTAAAATCCTCAGGGTTCTCATAACTATTTAAATACTTAATAGAAATTACTTATTTAGTATTTAAATATTAAGCATAAATTAATTTTATAATTTGGTCATTTTAGATATATAAAAATCACTGAAATACTAATTTAAATTATCATATCTTATGTTTATAAAAAACAAAAAATATTATAAATTATTCTCTCTTATGTAGAAATAATTTTTCAAAATCATAATTAAAAATATTAATTAGGAAAAAAATTACTTTTGAAGACAAACATGAATGGATACATAATATTATATTATTATAGTTAAATAAAATATTGATAAGATCACAAACTAACTATTTGTGGTAGATCCCTGGATAGTTACAATGAACATAGTAGTTATATAAAGTAGAAGCTTTATTATATGGTGTATACTGTATACTTGTAGCACAACATTAATATACATCAATATTTATTATTTAATAATATTTCTATATTATTATTTAACTAACTTATATAAATAAAGAATAATCTTAAATCATAATAAGTTTAAATAATAAACATTATTTAACATTTGTTAAGAATTAATGTAAAAGTTCCAAGATCTTAGAACTAATGGCGAAAAGTATATAATGTAAAGAACTAAACAGAGTTAACTGTATTTATTTTAGTCTTCATATTTGTTTTTTACCTTACTACTACCAGAATAATGATTTTTATAGTTAACAATATCACCGAGATCGTGTTGTTTGAATTTTTCTGAGACCAAATTAATTAAACAGCTGTAACGTAAAGCAGCAACATCCAAATGATCATCCTTTAATATATAAAATACAAAATGATTAAATATGAATGTAGTGTAGATAAAATTCCACTTACGATTTCAGCCCGAGCATTGATAAAATACTGCGTAAGTATACGCATGTCTGATAACAGATTTTCACTTGGATCACTGTCCATACTGGCATAGACAGAAAATGTCCAAGAAGTTACATCACTGGTGTTAATTATTTTTTTCATAATCCATTGAACAAAGTTACATATAACAGCAGCACAGTGGCTCTAAAAAAAATTTAATTTATACTGTTAAAATAAAACATTTTTGGAAATTTTACGAGCTCTTGATATTGATAAGAAGTGTATAATATTTAATTATTGTTATATCTTTTTTAAATTACCTGAAAAAAATAAACAATTTTGTCAATATTATGAACAGGATTCACTGGAGTAGAAGCATTAATTTGTCTTCCAAACAAAAACGTAAACCATGCAGTTGGTGAATTAGATATTGGCTGAAAATTATTGAATTAATTTTTAGTTTTTATTATTAAAAAATAAACAGATAGTATATTATATAATTACTATGTATTTTAATAGATATTAAATATAGTATAGACAAATAACACACCAATAAATTTTCAGGATGAGTAATACATTTTCTGGTATCCTGAATTTTGGTTCTGGCACTTTCATACTGTTCAATGTATGACATTATTTCAGCTTTAGTTGGCAGTAATTTCTTATTTTTAATACTAGGCAATTCTAGGGAAGGCTGAAAAAAAAGGGTTACAGTTATTTTGATTTCAATAATGATTTTGTAAGATAATAAATGTCTACTCAATAACAAAATACAAATTTAGTTCTAAGTAAATTAATATGATAAAATTATCAGTTTGATGTTTATAACGCATCAGAATATTAAAATAATAAGTCTTTCATATATTATAGTGGCCTTTTTACAATACTTCATAAATATGATTAGGTTAAATTTTTAAAAATTCAGTTAAGCTCTCAAGCTTTTATTTTAATGTATATTGTTGTTGTAGAACAAGAAAAATTGGGGGATGGATGCAGCAGGCATGGATCAGTTTCATTTAGGCTATGAATATTCACAATTTATAATTGGATAACTTGGTGAATTCAATTAAACCAATAATTAGATAATTATGTATACTGTACACTGAGGCAAGAGAATGCAATTTATTGAGAACCAAGGCCCAAGATTTTGTTGTTACCAAACACGAATACCGGAATACAGCTTAAGTCTGTACTTTAAATGGGAGATATTGCTGTTGACACAAAGCAAGGTATTGGTTATTTGTTCTCAATCATTAATAAATATAATTTTACATATTACTGATCAATATGATTGATAGACTATAAAAATGTTATAGGTACCCAATAAATATTTTTTTGTAATTTATTTATCAAATTAATAGACTCATGTCAACCTCATTTATCAAAGTAATATATATTTTGAGAAATGTTTGCTTATTTGTTCAAATTGTTAGTTTTACTAAAGTAGCTAATGAACAAAATATATCTCAATACTAACTATGACATATGTAGGAGCATTGTTTTCAAATTTGTTTATGAATTCCTGAAGTTCAACATTAGTGGCAGTCATAACCGGAGGCAATTTATCTTCCATTTTTCTATAAAACAATAAATATACATTACCAAAAGCCTAGAAGAAAAAAAATTTATAAAATAATCAAATGGGTAACATAATTTATACCTAGCCATGTAAAGATACTCATGTCCATTTTGAGGATTATCAATTTGATCAACTTGACGAATTTGATTTCGGTCGATTGGCAATCTATAAGGTCTACCGGTTAAGTCATCACTGAAATTTAAAAATTATTCATAAGTTCAATGTTATTTTGGAAAAAGTATTACATGAAATATTACAGAGACGAATGGCGTTTCAATTTTGATGCTTTTCCACTTCTGCGACCCATGTTTATTTTTATGATAAACGATTTCCTACTTTAATAGTTTATGTAACGAATTTTACAATGTCTTACGGCATTTGTGTGCACATTGCTATAGTAATCGTGTTCGTATAATCTCGTATGATTGTAGTTATGCAACAAAGCTGACTTGAAGTACAATTTTCTCAAAGTATAACACCGTTCAAATACAATTTACAAATCAACGAAAAAAATGTAAACAACTTAATTTAGAATATTAGATACTAAAACCATTGTAGTATTATTATCAAAATTAAAAGAAGATAAAAATAAAATCGTGATAACAATACAGTGTTTCATTTTTATAAAAAACCAAAATAACTACGAAACCACGATTTACCAATATATAGGTACCTTAAATCGTGTATGAAACCATGAAACTAACTTACTATTCTCGTTCAACAAGCAATTGAATTAAAAGTTGAAACCGCCGAAACTCACCTACATAATTAACGTGGCTGCAACGACTATAAAATTAATTAAAAAAAAATTATTATTCTGTCGATGATAATAAATGTAGGGTCCCAAACTTGAACAAACTTATTTCATATAATCCGTGGTTATTGAGTTATTCCTCGAAAATTTATTTATCTACGTTACACGCTAATATTGTGGAGTTTAAATTTTCTGTACTCTATGGTTTCAGCTTAATCGCAGACTTGTTATTACTGTTTTACTATATTATAGCATACCTACGCTACTATTTTGGTAGGTTACCTATTCTTTATTGGCACGAATCATATCGGGCGGCCCATAATTCATAAATAGCCAGACATCGGCCCGTATTAAAAATAAGACCTGGTGGATATGGCCTGGCCCTGGGCCACATTGTTACAGGCCTGCAGGCAGGCTGCCCCTTCCTCTGGTCGGGCCTGAGAAAATGTTACTGCACGATACTGCAATATTTAATATTCATTCCATATCGATAGTGTACCTGCCCAATTCGTCCGAAAAAAGTAAATAGTATAGACAAGAATAATATGTAATAAATTCAGCTCAGATTTCAATGCAAGTGCGTCCTTTTTAGGATTCCCTGGCACCAGGGGGGTTGGTCCTATGGTAGGTACATGCACTTCTAAACTGCAGCGGTTCCCAACATTTTATTATAAAAATGATTTTATTAATTGTTTTCAAATTTAACATGTATTAATTTATAGTTAATGACTTCCTTGATGCTGAACACTTTCCACAAATTCTTCAATGTTAGGACGTATATTTATTGAAAGTGCACATCGCATATCTTGTGTAGCATCAAGACGATTTGTATATTTTGTTTTCAATGACAACTAAAGCAGAAAACCCGACTTCACATAAGTAATGTGGTTGGAAATGCTAATAAGTAATAACTAATAATTCATTTTCAGATGATCTTGTTGGTATAATTAGTTTATCTTTTAGTTGTACCCACAATTATCCAATAAATCTTTAATACAACATACACATCAATACTAATTTATATGCGTACTGCGTACCTATACCAAAACTACGATAGGAGTAAGGACGCATCAAGGTGCTCAGTGGGATTTTCGGGAATAATACTATGAACAAAAATAGAAATTATATACCTATACTACGCTATGGAAGGTACGACCGCGCACAGCCCGTCCATATTTTTTATATTATAACCTATTTAAAATTATTTTCTTTTTATTAGTTGAATATTTCTAGAAAATGAAATGAATAACTAATATTAAAATGTAAGTAATGTTTTCGTGACCCACCATAAAAACCTCTCCGACCCTAATTTGGGTCGCGACCAGAGGTTGGGAACGTCTGTGCTAAAGCAACACATACAATTTAGTGGGTGATGGATGTTGGGTTAATTATTTATGAAGACAAATGATGACTCATCAGTGTAAAAATATTATTACTCTATGGTGTAAAATATTTTTAAAAAAATGTAATGAGTCATTTTATAATTAATAATTATTAATGCCCCTATTTAACATAAATCGAAAAAAAAACCTAAATTAAAAACCTATAAATATCACACAAAATATATATAATTTTTATATAGTACCAAATTGCTATTATGGAATAGGTATTCGGTAAAAATTACCAATTTTGTTCATAATTTAAATCGTTAAAATCGTCGGGTATAGGTTTTAAAAACACTAAAAAACATCTATCATCTATCATCTAATATGATATCACTTCTGAATGATATAAATAAGGTTCATGTTTAAAGCTATATTTTCATTAACTATTATAGAGTAACCACGAAGAATAATATATTCAGAACAAATCATATTATATATTTATTATATTTTCAATGTATTAATCTTATTTCTTTTTACAATACTTTGTTCATTATTCAGCCTTATAATATATCGAGTGAATAAATTAAATGGTTAATGTGAATTATATTTATTTATATATATTATGACTATAATTCTACTTGTATCATAAATAAATAAATGTATTTATGTACAGCCTACAGGAAAAAAATCTAGCGAAGGACTGGACTTTAGAGCTGTGTTTGTGTGTAAAGATTTTGTATAAAAGTAACAATAATTAAGTGTATAAATACTATGATAAAAAAAATAATACTTATATTATTACTATAACGCGTCCGTTGATTGGCATATAATAATTTACAATTTTGCATAAAATAAGTATAATAATGATTAAAGGTATTAATAGTCTACCAAAACTTATAACAAAAGAAAAATGACTGTTATTTTCATTTATAGAACAACAAATCACAAAAAAAAACAATGTTTAACCAATTCAACAATGATCATATTTCTATGACAGTCCTATTATAGTAATTGTTAGCCGGTAATTGTGAATTGTGTAATTGGGATGGAAAACTGTGAATTAATAATTAGTTCTTGATCGAATGAATTTTAATAATCAACTTTTCAATTTGTACATATGTATTTAAATTTAATTTAGGCGTATTATGCCGTTTAATGTAGTACTGTTGCTAAGCAGATCAATAGTTTAACAATAAGTAAAATATATGTGGCTGTCATAATAATAGAAATCCAAATTTTTTTCTAAAGCTTGATGTAGACGGCATAGACATCATCCACTTCCTCAGGCCGATCAGTACAACAGATGAAATCACCAACACTGCACCAATAATACTGAAAATACAAGGTACCTGGTCGAAAAATATTATCTGCCACACAAAAGCAAACACCACATCAACAGTCCTTGCAATAGCAACCAATCCAGCTTCTTCGAATTGGGATGCAATAGTTATTAACGTTGATGCAGAAAAACTGAACACGCCTAAAGCAACGATTAAAATTATCTCAGTACCAGATTTTGGCCAACACAAGTTTCCTGTAGCCCAAGCCATGCTAGTCGTTTGTATGATAGAATAAGTGGCAAACGTCACCATGATAACACTGAAATGTAAGTCCTTCAAAGTTCTGAGTAGTATATAAACAATAGCTCCAAAAAATGTAGATAACAAAGCTGCTAATGGAGCTAAAAAATTGTATTGTTTAGTCGACTGCCCAAATAAGAAAGGAGGTCTTGTGATCAATAAGACTCCAATCATTGTTAAGAATAATGTGAAGTAATGGAACAGTCCACATGGTTCCTTGAGAAATATTCTAGCGAATATTGCGACCATGACAGGCACACTGAATACAATTACTGAAGCGTCAGCTAAGGGCATGTGTCTGATGGCATAAAAAATCAGAGACACTGTAGTGGCACCGGCAAAAGCACGAAGTAGTAGCATCAGTCGATGACCTTTTGGAAATGGATTCTGTTTATTGTAGATCAGTATGGGTACAGAGATAACTAATATTCCAACAAAACGAAAGGCGGCCAATTGTAATGGGTGTATGTCTTCGAGCCATTTCACTATCAAAGTACTCAGAGAAAAAAATAAAGACGACGTGGCAGCTAACAGTATGCCAAGAATTTTTATTTGTGATTTAGGAGACGTCTCGTTTGGCGTATCCGACTCGATCTCCAGATTTCTGAGTTCTTGAAGTTCTTGTTGTTCAGCCATTTACACGGTTTAAATATAAATATTACTTACTTTAATACTTACACGTCACTTGTGCGATAGTAGTATGCTAACAGTAAGCACCTTACTCTTGATTTAGATCATGATTAAAGATATAGGTAGGTACTTACATTTATCTTTAATCATGATTTAGATTCGTTAAACTCTGTGAAAATGTACGATGGTCAAGTAGAACTGAGATTCAAGTTATAAATTTAGGAAAATAAACTTTTATACTAAAAATTAAAAAAATGTGCCGGATAACGGATCTTCGATTAACATTTAGTAAAAAAAAAAAAGAAATGGGAATATGGGATATTGATTATCACAGTCTGATAGTGTAATCCATAGACCTATTACTTATAGGTTAATAGGTCTATGGTGTATTGTGTAATCACTGAATCCGAAACCGCGTGAATTGGCGTTTATAGGTCCTAAGGTAATATTACCACAATATTGCCAGGTGCTCACCCCTCCCCCCAAAAAAAAAAACTAAATAAAATGGGCCCTAAAATAACTAGGTTATGGACAAAAATATGCAATTTATGTAACTTATCATCCTTACTCATAACTTTAAACTACTGTCTCCTTGTAAAATCCTCAGGGTTCTCATAACTATTTAAATACTTAATAGAAATTACTTATTTAGTATTTAAATATTAAGCATAAATTAATTTTATAATTTGGTCATTTTAGATATATAAAAATCACTGAAATACTAATTTAAATTATCATATCTTATGTTTATAAAAAAACAAAAAAATTTATAAATCATTCTCTCTTATGTAGAAATAATTTTTCAAAATCATAATTAAAAAAATATTAATTAGGAAAAAAATTACTTTTGAAGACAAACATGAATGGATACATAATATTATGGAGTTATATTAAATATTGATAAGATCACAAACTAACTATTTGTGTTAGATCCCTGGATAGTTACAATGAACATAGTAGTTATATAAAGTAGTAGCTTTATTATACATGGTGTATGGTGTATACTGTATACTTGTAGCAAAACATTAATATATATCAATATTTATTATTTAATAATATTTCTATAATATTATTACTTAACTAACTTACATAAATAAAGATTATTCTTAAAACATAATGAGTTTAAATAATAAACATTATTATTAATTAACATTTGTTAAGCTTAGAACTAATGGTGAAAAGTATATTATTTAAAGAATTAAACAGAGTTAACTGTATTTATTTAAGTTTTCATATTTGTTTTTTACCTTACTACTACCAGAATAATGATTTTTATGTAGTTAACTATATCACCGAGATCGTGTTGTTTGAATTTTTCTGAGTATTAACCACTTATAAATTTAAATGTATTGAATTAAATTTGCAAAATTACATAATAACAACTATAAATTAATAAAACATATTATACAAAATGTGTACACCTTCCATAAGAAACTGCAAATCATACATAATATTATACACATCATACAAATATAATTTGGTATGCAATCGTTTTGTAATTTTATCAGGTAAAAAGGGATCGGTGCGAAATCGTGTTGTAATTTTAGACGGCCTAAAAAAGGGAAAAGTGTTGCAATCGTGTTGCAGCAGTTTACTACACTATTACAGGTAACACCTGTTGTCCTGTAACATTTAATTATAAAAAATCAATAATTTGAAAATTTTGAATTTCCTAAAATCATATTTTCATTCAAATGTTTGATTTCTCTAATAGTCGCATTGCAGGAGCTAATCTATTATAAAACAATAACCGATTTGAAACAAACATTTTTAGTTATAGAAAAGTTAAATATCCAAGTGAGTATAATATCTTAACTACAATATAATTTGTTGGTAAGTATTTATTGTTTAAATCGTGTTAAAAAAAATTTTGGTAAGATGTACCAGTTATAATTATCACAATTCTTAAGTTCTGTAATCGTTTAATAACCTATATGTAATAAATATCTACCTATGTAATGATAAGTAACCTGAAAGAATTTTTGCAGAAAAAAAAGTAGTGCCTGTGTATTTTAATATAAATATGTGCTCGGTGCTATGCATATTGACAGGCAATAGAATGGTGTTCAGTCGTGAGCAGAACGACTAGAAAAACCATCTAATTGGAACCCAATCGATAAAGTTCAGAACCTAAAATGTGGAGCTCAGCTACAATTTACCTATTGTTACAGTTAATGTAAAACGTACCACGAATCTACCAGAATATTCAATTGTTTTCTTTACCCTACAAATTAACATTGTGTAGATTATTACATAAGGGATGTAAGATTATATCACGTGTGATATTTATAATCGTGTATTGTATGAAATATTAACATAATTAATAATTAATAATCATATTAATGCGTGTTCAAACTCCGGAGAGGTGTATTATAATGTCAACCAAATTAGTAGATATGGTAGGTACACTTGTCCAACAAAAAATAAATTTAAATTGTAATTTATAAATATTGATATTGATCTATTAATACGATGAAGGGCACTGGGAAGCCAAATACTAATACGATTACAAGTGTACAATCCAATTTGCAATTTAGAACATCGTTGTAAATCCTCCCCGAAATTCCTTTCTTTCTTTTCATACAGGAGTCACGTACTCACGTAGTATGTAGAATATTTTACTAGAAATGTTGTTGTAGTGAATAAATCTTTTGTTTTATAAGAATTATAAGAAACCAAAAATTAAAGATATAATAAGAAATAATGATCGTATGTGTACAAACAATTTAAATATTCAAATAAACATTTAAACTAATAAGTAATAACTGTAGTGTTTCTTTTTATTTCAGATTTGGTGGTTTGTTTTTTTATTAAATAGAGTGATCGCTTTACCAGTATGTACCAATCAACCAAATATAAAAGATTATGCGGTACTAAGTGCACTTTTACCATTACATTCCGGCGACGATTGTTCCGAAACACAAATTAGAGGTATACAGCAATTGGCTGCTTTGGAATACGGACTCAGTAAAGTAAATGCAGATCTTAGTCAATACGGGGACTTAAAAATCAGTAAGTAAAATTATTTATAATATTATGTATTATTAATTTGTTTTTAAATATTTGAATTGTTAGGCTTACAGATTTTAGACACTTGTTCTAATTCGAATAGAGCTGTAAAAGCCACTATGAAGGGACTGGTTTCTGCCGAGCAAACTTGCATTAAATCTCCATTGTTTTTAGGTATGACATTAACATATTTTATTTTTACTTTAGAGCAGTGGTGTCATTTGGTGGGACCTAATATATAGCGTTAAAAAAGTGGTTTTATATACAAGATGATTCAACTTACTACCTACGTATACGGTTATTGGACCCGTCACTATTACTCCTATACTCTAGAAAAAACCGGAATGACACCACTTTAATACTATACAGTGCAAATAAATAATATTAGATTTAATAATCTAGGATATGTAGGACCAGACGATTTGGAATCATTTATCAACGTACATAAAATAACATTTTTACTAAATAAAACACACGTTTTGCCATATAAAATTGACCTGAAAGAAAGACCTGCGAATGTATTCTTCATTGGAACAGACCAGACCGGAATTAGAGCAAAAGTGAAAAAATGTCATAGTTTGTTTAGAATATATTAAAAATATCAATATTGGTTGAATTGTTTTGTTTTTATCAGGCCATTCTTACAATGTTGAGTAATTTAGGATGGGAAAATTATGTACCAGTAGTAGAAGATTCCATTCAAACTAATAATTTATTAGATACACTTGTGGATTTGTCGGACGGACATGTCTGTCCAGTTGGAAAACCAATAACGTTACCTAAATCAGAAAATGGGTATACTACAGTTTACAAAGAAATTATTGAAAGTATGATTTTTGTAATATGATTATAGTTTTTAATAGATTTTATTATTTTAGAAACTTATGTAAAAATGCAGGAACTCATAAATATAATAATGTACCTCAACAAGTCCAACATATTTTCTAACCTCTTAATAACTAACATTTGGTCCCAAGGTGAAAACTAACCCCACTAAACACGGGGGAGGGGAAGGGATTATTTTTAAATCAACTATTTTTAAAAAATCTATAATATTACCAATTTTAATTTTCAAGACCGAGAAATTATTATAATAAATTTATGTTAATTATACGTCTATTATATCCGTCTATACCTGTTGTAAGAATCTCAAATATTGTGAGGGATTCAAATTTTTTAACTGATAGGTAGTTTGAGTTATAATTATTATTTATTAGTATTATTTATTAATAAAACATTTTTCATAGGCATTTTATAAATGTTTAAAATATTACCTTTATGTTACATGGAGATTTCTCCACATTCGACCCTAACATTTTAAAATCAACGTTTCGTCACTCTTATAAAAATCACTATATTTCTCATACTTTATTAACACTATATTATAGTATAAAATAATAAAAATAGAAATTACACATACCTACAGGTATAATGATTATTTATAATATTCATAACGATTTTCTTCCTTGATATTTTTTGTAATTCAATTATTTTAGGAAGATATTATTTTTGAATATTCACAAAGATCGTGTTGAAATTTCATGTGAATAATGCACTCTCGACCTCACTATAAAAACCTCCAAGACCATAAATTTGGGTCGTAACCTGTGGTTGGGAATCGCTTGTTTAGGTTAGGTATGCATTAATATTATGGTTTTTTTTTTACTGACCCCTAACAATTTTACTATCAATACATACCCCTGTAATATGACTATATGAGTATAAGTGTACTAAATGTGTCATATGAATGTATTTAGGTCAAATTCACACAACAGTTGACGGTATACTTATAATTGTTGAAAAACCAGAAGCTCTAAAGCCTCTGTTGAAGATTCTATCAAACAGTGCTAACTCTCAAAGATCTCCATTAGTCATATATATTATTTCTGTCGGTTTAAAGCTATGGGATTTTCCAAGGTCTGATTCTTTGAAAATTATTGTTATGCAGGAAGCCACGTAAGTGCCTTTGTTTTTTTTACTAGCTACCTACTTGTATAAATAATACACTGTATTATCATTTATATTATGTTATGTTATTATAATTTATATTATGTTATGTTATTATAATTTATATTATATTATATGTTCTTATATATTATATTACATGCGCTTTGCCATTTTATAATATATAATATTCAGGTTCTATATAATATAATGTTACCAATTACTTAATTATGAATTATTTACAGGGAATTTATAGTGAAAAACGATATCAAACAGTATTTTAACGATTCTCTGTTAATTAGTTACCACGAGCAAACCAGATCATACAAAAGAAGTTGCAATAATAATCCCATGTGTTTGGTATGAACGACGATGTCAAACCGATCTACCTCAAGTTAATTAGATAATATAACATTTTAGGATTCACTCGAAGAAGAATTGGATTCCACCGTTATCCCGATAACATATGCAGTACATTTATTCGCAAATGCACTAAAAATGTCATTAGACCAAAAATGTAAGTATAATTTAGATTCTCCGGGGATTTGCCGTAATCTTCAATCCATGCCACCGATGGAATGGGCATCACTTTTGAGGACACAATCGACAATAATGAATGGGCCAGAAGGACCAAAAAGGGTTAGATTTCAAATGGAAATACCACACCACGTCAGCGTATACATGTGGAACACGGTTCCAAGACAATTCGATTTGGTAATATACGAGTACCATTAATAATAAATTGTAATACTTAACTATTTTATTTATAATAAATTTGAAATAATAATTAATACAGATCGCTACAATAACGAATGGTGATAGACTGAGCTTCATGAAAAATGTATTCTTGCCCTCATCGATACGTTCAAACAAAATATCTGACCGTTCGGCTTTTTGTCAATCGTATAAGACCAAACAAACCAAGATTGCAGCTACAGTTCCACCGGTAGAAGATGCGACTGCTGCAAAGGAAGACGACTGGTCACCGATTTGGCAGTTTTTACCCAGTGGGGAAAAAAATCATAAAACGAAATCTACTTACCAAGGGATTGTCGTAATGTTGTGTATAGGGTTTGGTTTCCTTATATTCATGATAGTGTCCATGCGCATACTGTACAACGTTTTCAAGTTCAAACAGGGCAATGACGAATCGTCAAGCAAGAGAAGGAAAAGGATGGAGAAGGCAAATAAACCCAGAAGAACGGGTTCTGTCACCAGCAGACGATTGAGCAGAGTCAGTTCAATTATAAGTACACGATCGCGTTAAGACATTATAATATCTGTTATAATTTATATAGGTAATATCATTGAGTATAGATAGTATACTATATCTATACTCAATGGTAATACCTATATTCTTTATTGTATGTCGGTATTGATTATACTATATTAATTATTATGTATTTATTATTAAATGTAAGTGAGTATATTAGTAGTGTACAGCAACGTCACCAACTACCGTAGCTTAATATTATTTATAAACATTAACATTTTTAAACTACAATATATTAATATATGTTTGGGTACCTATTAACTTGTTTTGTTATTCTGAATTGGCAGTACCTATCTTATATATTATGGTTAAACAATAATTAATTTTAATTCGCAGATATTAGTAAAATTTTTCTACTATTGGCCTAGAAACCGGATTATATATATGCTCTAAAATGGTGCTAAATATGATGCAAATATACATGATAAAAATGACAAAATACACAGTGATATGCACAAAAACTTTAAAAATAATGTGCAGTAGGTATATGTTTAGGTATTCAAAAATATGTACCATATTTCATAAAAGTGAAAAAAATAATTTTTTTTTCCAAAATAAGGAAAATATAATATATTTGATTGTCAAAAATTTTTTTTAATAATTAATTATTGATTGACATTATAACAATCTTCCTATTTGTAGATAGAAAAGAAGAAAGAGTTAATTTATTAAGAAAGAGTGTATAAAATATGCAAATTATATGCTCTATAATAACGAAATATGCCTTCACTCTTCAAATATGCTAGATAAAATTTGGTCATGAAATCAGACCGCACATTTCAAATCCTCACAGTCATGCCGAAATACAATATAAATGCATACAATATGCACACTGCACAGTATGAATATTAAAATGCATATAATTCAGGTCTCTACTTGTGTCCAAGATTATATTATATCTATGAATTAAATAGTAACTTTACATAGGTACCTAAGTAAATTCTGCATTAAATTTACTAGAAATTGATTTTTAGACAACCGTTTAACTATCTACCTGTACACGATTTAAACTTTTATTTCCTGGAATCCTTGGAACAATAATAAAATAATTTATACTCAGCATAAAGTGAGCACCTACAGAAGAAAAATATCAAACATTCATGCAAGGACGAAAAGGTTTAACAGTAGGAGACATCTTGTCTTAATTTGAAATTGCTGACAAGAATAAGTGGGATCTTTTTCAAAAAAAAAAAAAAAACTTGGTCGTTTATTTTGATCAGTTTATACGTAGCCGGGAGGAATTTTGAAAGCAAATTGACCTCGGTCTATTGGAAAGTCATGATACAGATTTCCTAGTACCTATACAGGGTGATATTTTTATCATTGAACACTCATTATTTCAAAAAGTATTAATGTTTAAGAAAATATTTTTTTACATAGTTTCAAGTTGTTAAAAAACAATATTTTTATTAAAAAATTATATTTTTAAATATTTTTTATCCTTTTAATTTTTTAATTTTTTTACTTTTTTGAATGACAACATGTAATTTTTATTTGATATTCAAAAACAGAATATTTTTCTGAGTATTTTAATACATAAAAATTGAATTTAGGGCAAGTAGTTTATGAGTTATAAGTATTTAAAGTTTAGATGAGCGGAGTAGTGGACAAACATTTCGCGGGGTAACCCCGTACCACTCTACTCCGCTCATCTAAACTTTAAATACTTATAACTCATAAACTAATTGCCCTAAATTCAATTTTTATGTATCGAAATACTCAGAAAAATATTCTGTTTTTGAATATCAAATAAAAATTACATGTTGTCATTCAAAAAAGTAAAAAAATTAAAAAATTAAAAGGATAAAAAATATTTAAAAATATAATTTTTTAATAAAAATATTGTTTTTTAACAACTTGAAACTATGTAAAAAAATATTTTCTTAAACATTAATACTTTTTGAAATAATGAGTGTCCAATGATAAAAGAATCACCCTGTATATATTTTTTGTTATACCACTCTGTGGTAGGTACTTACTTATGAAGCTTCGAGATTGCCGAATGATAAATATATATAATTTAATACATTTATAATTACCCTTTGCTATCGAAAACCGATTTATAAATGTAACTTTTCTGGTAAGTAACTAACAAAAAACAGTAACATATTATTTTTATAATATATTTTGTTATTTTGTTAATCATGGTAATACCATATAGACACATCATTTCTAAAACAAAAAATAAATACATTTCGAAGCTGAGTACACATTTTAATATTATTTAAGAACATAATATTTATAGAATTCAGTCTTCAGAAATGAATGAATCAAATAAATTATCAAACATTGTTTTTGTATTTTGTACAAACAAACATTTTTATTTTTTTTTAATTACATATTGTTTAAAGGTATATTACATGGAGGTTTCAATAAATACTAATAATGAAACAGTGAAATCTCATCAAAAGTATGACATTTCTGAATGTTTATCAATAATAACTATTAACTATATAAACCTACCTATTGTTAGTATAATAGCCACACAACATTTGGGACATATTAAATAAATGTGGGAATCTAAATAGTATATTATACAGTAAGATCTCCGTATGTTGAAAAGGGGAACAGAAAAAAGTTCGAGATACCTATTGAGTTTTTTTTGTGATGGTAATTATTTCAATGGGTTTCAATTGAGTTCGAGATATCGACGTTCGACATAATAATAATTTACTGTACATACATATTATATACAATACTAATAGCATAATAGGTAAATCACTGCAATTAATCCACTTTATTTTTAGCTTGGAAACAATAAAAGGCGCATAAACTAAAAAAGCAGTCATTTTTAATACACGAATAAAATACAATTTAAATGTTTATACAACTATTACACACATTGATTAATGATACAATTTGTTTTACTTTTTATTCATATTACCATTAATACCAATGTCTATAGTAGAAGAATATACTTTGATTCTTATAGAAGTATACATAAATAGTATATGATTAAATTAAAATTATTAATAATACAACTGCGTTCAATGATAATGCCAGTATTAGCCATTTGGTAACACGAAATACTTTTAACGTATGACCTTGCATTTGTTCGTGTTTTTTACAGTATAAAAGACTTGATATCAATACATTTTAATTTTTTAAGTGCATGTACAGCAAACAAATTTTTGTTGAATAGGATCATTTGGAATTTCCCTTTATGAGTTCTAATAATTTGAACAACATTATTTATTAAAACAACTGAGTCATGACTCTTCAACATTTTCAATCTTAAAAATTGACTGCTTGAGAAATAATGCTTGTAATATCACAATTTTAACAATTTAAATAACATTTTTAAGAATTTCTATGCGATTTCATAAAAACTCAATACAATTCACACTAAAAAAGGTGCTCTACTGTACAGTAGGTTACAAGTGTGTCACTGTATAATGGATGGTATTAAATTTGAATTCAATGATATAATATCATTGTATAAGAAAAACGATTCTGAGCGAAAACGGTTAGTCTGCAGCCTATGATATTACGAAGTATATTTGATGATACTAAGGTGAATATAGTAATTTATATATAACCTATTTACGTAGAATCTTGTTTTAAATTTTCAATCATTAGCTATAAAAGTTGAACATTTTATAAATTTTTAACTATAAAATTATTATTAAATTTTAAATGTGATAAATTTTGTCAAAATTTGAACTTTAATACTTCTAAAAAAAAATTGTGCCTATGTGTTTTTAATATTTTTCAAATGCTATTGTAACAATATATCAGGAGCTGTGCATTAAATTTTCACGCTTTTCTACCCAACAAATACAATTTTATTGATATTTGTAGAAAAAAAAAACTAAAAAAATTTAAAACTGAAAATGTCCGTAAACAGCTAAAAAAGAGTCAAAATATTTTCAAAATTATATGGTGTATAGGAAATACTAATATAAACATTCAGTGAAGTCATTCGTTTTTTAATTACAACAAAATGTAAAAATATGAACTTCAAAAGCTCTTAAAAATTTAATTTGAGTTTATTGTAGACATTTTTTTTTTGATAAAGGTAGACAAACTTATGAGGAATCTTGTATCACATTTTCATATCTTAGATTTAAAAAGGAAAATGTTTATGAATTTCTAACTCGAAATAATTTGCAAATGTTTGTTATTTTTACGTATTTTGACAATATTTGAACTTTAAATGCTCATAAGCATAACAAAAAACTGTGACCAAAGATTTTTAATATTTTTTATCTGTCATTGAAACAATATATTAGGAGCTTTCGATTAAATTTTTAAGCGTTTGTAGCCAACAAATAACATTTTATTTATATATATATAGAAAAAAAACAAAAAAAATGGAAACTAAAAATGTCCGTAAAGAGCTCAAAGTAACTCAAAATATTTGGAAAATGTTATCATGTATAGAAAATGGAAATATAAACAATCAGTGAAATTGTCATCTATATACGTTCATTTGTTTTAGAGTAACAACAAAAACCAAAATCGACTTTGTGTAAAATCGATTTAGCGTGAAAATTCCCGTTTTTCTTAATTTTTCTTTTGTTTTTCACGGCGCTTTTGAAATCTACTGGAAAAATTTTTCTTTATTTGACCTCCCAAAGTACCAACTAGATTCACTTCCTATCAGAATAGATACTGTTGAAGAAAAGCACGTTTACTGTTCTAAAAGGTGATGACAGACACAAAAAAAAGTAAAAAAAAAGACACATCATTGTAAAATCAATACATGCATCGTTCCACTAAAAATCTAAAATGGAATGGGTAAAATTCAAAATAATTGGACGGTAAAAAAGTAAATAATTAATAAATAACCAGCATTATATTTTAAAATAATAAAAAGTAAACGTTTATGGAACATGTATCATCAATAATAATTGTATTATATTTATTATTTATTTATAAATTATGGTATCGTAACTTGGATTTGATTAAAATTAACTCGTTATTTATTATGTTTATACATTAAAAATAAGTTACGTTAAAAATTAAGCTAATTGAAATTAAATTTTAAAAAG